TGTCACGCTCCCCCGGGAAACGCGCTGAGGCAAGAACAGGAAACAGCACAAGGCGTGTTCTCCTGACGTCTCCTGTGTTTTTCCAAGAAAGGCCACTCAGGCCAAGGCCACAGGTGCTGGTGTGACACGCGTAGCACGTGCCCTTGGCTGACTTCCCGAGCCCCACCACGGGGCTTTCCACATGAAGTGACGGAGAAAAAGCCAGTGTGACGTTGTCAGTACTGCTAAGTGACTTGAGTCCCCCTTTTATTTCCTTGTTTATAAAAGATGTTTGAAAGAAAAGTCACAAAGTATTAAAGTGAAGGAAACAGTAAGAGAACACACGTGCCCAGTGGGGGTGGGTGGACACATGGGCAGAGGCGCCGTGTCACACGAGCGGTCAGATATTTCACTAAGGAAGAGTCGAGCTAGCTGGTTCTAGGCAGGGACACAGTATTGCTGAGCTCTCCCAACCCGCCCAGCGTACCTAGTACCCGTGCCACCTTGCAGGTGACATCAGCTGACTGGGCACTGTGGACCTGTCCTAAACCAGCTCCCACCACGTGCATGCACTGGAGAAAACGCTGTGGGGTTTCTAGCCTGGCACGACAGCTGGCCTGCGCACAGGCAACGGGCCAGACCGTCGCTGCCGTCTGCTTGGGGCTGGGACCACAGGTGGGCCCCAGCTCCCGAGCACGGGCTGTGATCACCACCGTCCGTCAGGCCCTCGCCGCCTTACGTGGCGGTGACCGCAGGCTGGCCGACCCACTGCAAGCTGCTCCTCGCTGCGTCGGGGTCAGCATGGGTTTCCCCTGCTCCCTCCATCAGCCCCGGATTCTGTAAACAGCTACTTTTAAAATGTGGGAGTAAGAGTCCTCCTTCCTCCACGCCCTCCCAGTGCTCACGGTTAGAAGACAGGCCCACAACCCCGATCCCAATTTTGAAACCCAAAAAGCCCAAAAAGCAAATTTTCTTCACGTCTGCAGCAAAATGACCTGGAGTGGTACGGGGCCCCCTGAGAAAAGGTGAGTGATGACGGGTTGCCCCCACCCCGGCCACGCTCTGTGACGTGCGGGTAGCGCAGTAACGTCTGGCAACCTGACGCCTGTGCCTGAGGACAGGAGTGTGGCTGTTTCTTGCCCCATTTGGCCCTGGTCTGTGGGGCCCTGCGCCCATGGGTCAGCTGCCCTTAGCAGCCAGGTGCAGCATGTGCTCACACTGTGAAGGTGCCCTAGATGCGGCCGTGGCCATGGTCCTGCTGCCCCGGCTGAATCTCCGGTTTGCAGGCCGCTGCAGGTGCTGCTGCCCCTGGAGGGCACGACCTTCTGGCCCCCACAGGCACGCAGTTCTAGGACAGCAAAACCCACCCCATTGGCAGGAAGCAGACCAGAGGTCGCGTGGGGGCGGGACAGGGAGGGGCACAGGGGACCTGGAATGATGGACCTTGGTCAGGGTGTTGGTTACACAGGTGTATGCATCTGTCAACACCCATCGAACCGGACACTTAAAATCTGGGCGCTCACGTCACTGTGCAAATCACGTCTCAATAACGAGTGTCCCATGAAAGGAGGGGAAGGGGCTTGCAGCCACCCACCTGGGCTGTTCTGGGCCCGTCATGGTCGGCGCCATGTGAGCTAACTCAGGACACGGTAAGCTGGGGGCTGTGCATCTTTAAGTTAAGAGCAGATGACAGGGTTCTGGGTTTACACCGCTTCCCCCCAGAGCAGCGTGTCTGTGGAGTGCCACCCAGTGGCCGCTGGTGGACCGTCACTCTCAGAGTGCAGGAGCCCAAAGAGAAGGGGGCGTGGCCTGGGAGAGCAGGAGGCCTTGGGGGGACGGAAAACCCTGCCTGCTCCATGAGAGAGGGCCTGGTGACAGGCTTTGCAGCTGCCCAAGTGGGGGGGTCACACTGCATGACAGAAGCCAGTGATTTCTGTCCAGGCTTTCGCCCCAACCGGCCACGGGAGAGCAGACAGCACACGCCCATCACCTGTCCCTGAGTCGCCAGGAGGGGCAACGGGGCTGTGCTTCAGAAAACAAACATCCCTGTCCACGCGGCTCGCAGGACGCCCAGCGAGTTCTGCACTCACAAACCCCCTGGCAGCAGCAGTGGAGAGGTGCTCAGTCCCCTGGTGCTGCTGTGCACATGGGCACGCACACACGCACATGCACTCACACATGTGCACACACATGCACACGCACACGCTGGCCACGAAAGGCCCGCACAGACCCAAGGGTCAGGAGCGGAGGGCGGAAAGAGCGGTATGCTTACTTGGCCACCCCACCTGCAGCCTCCCGTCTCCCAGGCAACCGTGTGACACAGTACTGCGGTCAGGGCGCCGTGAGTGCCACGGCCAGACAGGTAAAGGAGAAACAGCTATAAGACAATACAAACTTTATAAATAATGGGGTTTCTTGAACGACTCTTCATCTAAAGAGGCAAGTGTCGTGCCAAGACGTTCTCTGGCCATGGCCCCAGCCCACTCATGAAGGCCAGCTAGGAGGTGCCAGGCCTGGCCTCTGCTGCTAGGGCTGCCGAGCAGCCTGCTGGTAGAGAGGACCAGGTGGGAGGGTCGGAAGCAGGCGCAGGAGACATGCAAACAGCCTTAAAATATGCTCGTCAGGAAAACATTTGTCCAAGAACCCGAGACGCCCCTAGCATCTAGAAAGGTCTTGTCCCTGAGGCTCTGCCAGCCCCCTGCTTTGGGTCCACCCACAACGCCCCGTGCTCGAGACTCCACAGGCCATCCGAGGCTAGGACGAGGCCGGGACGCTGAGGAAGGAGCCGGCAGGGTGCCGGAGCCCCGGGTAGGGTGGCCAGTCAGCACCTCGGTCAGCACTACGCAGAGGCCTCCGCGCCCACAAGCGGTCCCGAGGCAGTGGCCTGGGCTGCAACTAAGTTACTGAGTCCGCAGTCAGCTTCGCAATCGGCTTCGCCCTTCTTCCTCTGCTGATGAAATGGCAGCAGGACACGGAAGGCAAAACCACCCGCTTGATGACGGGCAATGACAGGAGCTGGCGAACAGGGACCGGCCGGAGCCTTCGGAGATGGCGGTGATGTCTGTAAAGTGTACTGCAGTGATGGCTGCTCAACTCTGTGAATTTACTAAAAAATCACCGAATTCCATTTTTAAAACAGGTGAATAATGTGTCATGCAGAGTATACTTCAGATCGAGCTATTTTAAAACGTGTAAATGTCTTACAAGTGACAAACTGAAGACGAGTCATTAGTGTTGGCACGACAGGGAGTGACAGAGACACGACCTCCCAGCCCAACAACCGTGCACCTGCTTCCTGGCTGCGAGCATCAGCTTCCCGGGGCCGTTTCGCGTACGCGGAGCCACATGTGGCCCTTTGTGTCACCTTCTCTCACTGAGCACGTCTGCAAGGTGCATTGAAGCAGTGCGGGCGTCGGCGCCTCGTCCTTCGTGACGGCGGAATGACGCTCCGTGCGTGACTGGCCACTTTGTTTCCCCTTCGCCCAGCCACAGGCTCCGGGGTTGCCCCCGCCGGCTGGTGTGAGCAACGCTGCTGAGCCCACGGGCGCCGTGCTGTGGGGCGGAGGCCATGTGGACGGCCACAGTGCAGCGCAGATGTGTGCACTGGCGGTGCCCAGGGCCACGAGCACGTGCTATGCCAGAGAACGCGAGGCCGGACTGCCCGGGGCTCCTGTGAGAGTGACACCGTGCATCCTGGGGAAGGGGGATGGGTCAGCGAGACCCACTGTTCCTTACAAGGAGTCATCACTGCCCTCCCAACGGCCGGACCACGAGAGGGTGAGTGGGGGGGGTGCCCTGCTGTGCAGCGCCCATGCCACGTTAGGCCCCCAGACTGACCACGGCGGCTCCAGGGTGGGAGGGAGCGAAGCTGCGGCCCCACTGACCCCTCCACCGTTTCCAGACCTGACACGCACGTCACCTCCACGCTGTAGCCGCGAGAACCCTACACTCGGCATGAAGGGATCTGGACCGCGGTGGGGACTCTGCACGCCGTCCCGGGGGCCCTGTCCTCCAGCAGCCCCACCCCAAGCCCAAGCAGGCATCTGGGCGCCCGCGGTCCAAGTGGGGACAGAGGTCAGACCCGCAGCCAGAAGACGGGACGTGCAGCCAGCAGGATGGGCACCTGCCCTCAAGCCGGGG